ACCTTTTCTGACCCCCCCATTGCTGACCCCCCCATTAAGCCACGCCCAATTCTGGGCCCCGGAGGAGCTCCCAGCCCGCCTCCGGGACGCGTGCGGCTTCGAGCCGAGCCCGGCGGAGGCGGCGCGGCTGAGCGCCGCGGCAGGGCGGCCGGGAGCGGCCTTGGGGCACGAGGAGCCCCGGGAGCCAGAGCTCGAGGCCAGAGTATGGTGGGTCTGGTGCAGATGGGTCGGCGGTGAGAGGCCCTCTTCCTCCTCATCCTCTCCTCTTCCGCCTCCTTCTCCTCCTCCTCCTCCTCGATCCTCCTCCTCCTCCTCCGCCTCCTCCTCCTCCGCCTCCTCCTCCTCATCCTCATCCTTATCCTCCTCCTCCCCCTCCTCCTCCTTTTCCTGCTCCTCCTCCTCTTCCTCCCCTCCTCCTCCTCCTCCTCCTCCTCCTCCTCCTCCTCCTCCTCCTCTTTTCCTCCTCCTCCTCCAGGGTCGGCCACTGCGCGATCCGCGCCGGTGCCGTCTGGTAACATGGCTCAGTGACGAGAACATTGGGGGGGGGGTATCGGGCCAGTCACGGGCGTTATCGTTAACAATTAGAAATGGCGCCACTCGCTCATGAATGTGTACGGCTGCGTGCAGAAGTGCGCAAACGTGGCGGAGTGACACGAACTATTGCGCGGGCAACGCTTGCTGCCTGCTGCACACATGCATCCAACGCGGGAGCTATTGCATCCAGGCGCCACCTACTGCAAATATTATTGCATATTCCCCCGCGGACCCATCTGCGTCAGAGCCACTACTTCGGCTTGGAAGGTACACGGGAGGGTCCGTCCTCGGCCGAGAGGGAGCAGCAGTGTGAGGAAGTCTCCAGGCCTCCCCGATTAGGTCAGAGTAGATGGGTGTCGGAGGATCGCGCCATATCGCCGCCGATGAATCGGCGATGCGGCTCGATGTGGAGTCCGATTTTCTCCAACCCGATGGCACCGATGATCTTCGGTGCGGCACGGTCTTCCGACACCATCTTCTCGGATGCAATGTGGGAGGCAAAGGCATGGGTCAGAAGGGCTTGGATGCCTCTGCTGGAGAAAGTCCCTCAAAACCTGGATGGGTTGTGGGAGTGGTCTCTGGGCGGGAAAGGGTTCGTTGAAGGCGGCGGGTGGCGCCAGCCACTGGGGCTAGGGGGGGAGGCTCTTCCTGAGCTCCCCGCTTCTCCTCCGCCTCCTCCTGCTTTCCATTGGTTCCTCCACCTGCTTCTCCCCGTCTGCTTCTTTTTTATCCTCATCATCCTCCCCTGCCCCACCCCCCTCATGCCCCTTCCCTTCGTCGCCGTCCGGCGTTGGCCAACCAAGCTGTGAATCTTTTCTTGGGCTTCGTGTCCCCATCGGAGCGGGCGGGCGAGGCCAGACCAAAAAACCCTTGAATCTCTAACCTCCTCGTCCTCATCGTCGTCGTCATCATCGTCGTCATCATCACAATCATCCGTAGCCATTTTGGCTCAAGCTCGAAACAGTAATCCCTGGTCGCTGGAGCTTGCTCGCAGCTGAGGGGACAGTTCGAAACCAGGGCACTTTGCACGGGGGCGCGATGGTCGCAAAGGCGCGGACGCGTTCATCTCCGAGCTGACGGCTCTGGTGGCCACGATGGGCGACACCGTCAAGTCGGCAACGGCTCTCGCAAGTTGCGTTGGACGAACAGAAGGCAAACATTGCTAATATTGAATATGGCTGGCGCCTCTCTGCTCGCATGCGAAAAGTAGCGATTTCGGCGACAGCAGCGCAGGCGGTGACGGCAGCTCAACTAAGAACCCCCCGTGCGATGTCTCGCACTCGCCGCGGTCATTCCCATTTGTTGTCGAAGGCCGCCCATGTCCTTCTGATTGATGAGTGCGCTCGTAAGGTTCTGTTCGAAGCTTGTGTTTCATCTTCCCCGTCGTGCGGTACTTAGTAGGTGATGTCGGCGATGAACGTCACCCCCAGAACGGTTCTGAGACAGTGATTAGTGCGGTTTTTTCTTCAGAAGCAGCTTTCGTCGCGCTCGATACGTTGAGGAAAAAGGAGGAACTGCCCCGGCGGTTTCGAGCACACCACCCCCAAGACCCCCGCCAGTTGCGTCTGAAGTCCTTTCGCGATGGTGTGATCAACAAGCGACACATCACGATGGGTCGGATTCGCAGAGGGCCCGACACGACAGTCGAGGCTGACCTGCCCTTCCCGAAGTGGCCCATCGATTCGTCAGTCGGCAACGGGTTCATCTTCGCCGCTGACTGTGAGACAGCTGACGCAGTGGTTCTTCCACGTTGCCAGCCCTAGCCCCGTTAAAGAAATGCCCCGCGTTATCTCGTTCGCTGGCCACTTCGAGCCACTCGGGCTATTCGCAGGCAAGCAGCCGGTGGTTGTCGACGAAGTCACAGGCCAGTTGAGTCCTTGACGATTAGGTTGCTTCGCAGTCTGCCCTTGCAGGCTTGTACGCGTGCTTGGACGCGTTGGAAACTATTCAGTTCTTTGATCAAGCGCAACCAGGTTGTTTGCATTTAGGAGTCGCATGGGTATCTCGGGGGCTTGACTGATATCCGCAAGGGATATCACGAGTTTTACAGGTATGACCCCGCACCGTGTACATCTCCGGGCATGGGGTCAATGGCATGCATTAATGGGAAGTTGGCTGGGTGTTTCATTGTTTTTGTTTGCCATGCAGCGCTTAGTCTTCTTTTTGTTGAGGGGGGGGCGGCGTCTCTGGTATCCAGGGGGCTGCTGCTGCTCGCGCGCCGAATGTCGATGCAGGTGTTGGTCATATCGTCACGGTCTTCTTGCCATCGGCTTTGCTCTGCTTCCCGCCATGCGCTGGGGGCGGCTTGATCTTGAGACGGAGCAATCAAGTAGAGGCAACGCCCCCCTTCACTCGCGAGTGGAATGCTTTCTTTGGGGACTGGCCGGAACTCTATATCGGCCTCGGGGCGCTCGCCGCGCTCGTCGGGCCCCGCGGCAATCTCGACTTCCCGCCCTGATCGCGCGCGCGCTGACGACCCCCATCTGCGACATTGATTGCTCTTGTCGCTTTTTAGAGAGCCACTGTCGGAATGCCCGCGAACTTTACGAACCTGTCCGAACATGTTCTTGCGATGATCAGTCTAGCCCCGAGGGCCTCGCATTTCGGGTGGTCTTTCGTCGATCCCTGGTTGGGCCGTCGCAGCCGATGGGTGTCGTGATATTCTGAAGGACTGGATTGGTTCGATCGACGCGCCCCCGTAGATCCGCGCGCGCTCGGCGAGAGGTCAGGCGGCGACGCTTGAAACGCGTGCTAAGTTCCGGAAGACGACACGTCGTCGATTGGCTACTTCCCCACGCGAGTGTCTGCATTGGCGCGTCGCTGCTCTCCGCGGTTTTGGCCCGCAGTCTAATGCGGTGTTTTTATGTTCCTATTCTTTGTTTCATCCGAGCAGCGCGCGCCTGCCCCGCGCTTTTCTCGCTTCGACGTCAACGCTGGCGCCCTCCTTGCTCCGCCTGATTCGCGCGCGCATTGTTACCTTGAACACTACATTCTTGGACGGCTAAAGAAGGGCCATATTGCAGACGACGGGCCCCCCCCGAGCACGAAGCGCCGCGCAGGCGCGAGCGCCCGCGACGCAGCCGCTAGCGGCGGCGCAGTCCGGGCGAGCCGGTTCGCATCGGCAACGCCAGCATGGAGCGCGCTGGCGCACCTTGCGCGTCTGTGCAGCATGCCAGCACCGAGCTCGCTCACCACTGGGTATTTGCGTTTGCTGCTCAGCCTCCAAACCGCGCTCCCTGGCCTACTTTCGATTGTCGCTTCCAGGGCGCTGTGTTTCTCGTGCCAGATTTGGCGCGGTCTCTGGAGAGCGGAGAATTCGCCGAGTTAGTCAACCGCGCGGGGGGGCTCAGTGCTGGGGCGCGATGGGCTGCCCCGCGTCTGCTGGAAGCGCCCCAGGGTCTTCGGGGCCCAGTTCGGTTTCCACCGCCATTGCGCCGCTCTCCCCGGAGATCCCCGCCCAGGCGACTTTCGCGAAATGATTGCGGCGTCTTTGCCGCAGGGGAATGCCCTCCTGGCCCGAGCGCCGCCCCGGCTCGGGCGCCCTCGTCGACTCGCCCGCTCTCAACGGGGTGCGCCGAATGTCGGCGCGCGACGGCGGCGGTCGCTTATCCTCTTGCTCGGATCAGCGCGCGCACCGCTGACTCACGTCAATTTGGCGGCGTCTCGGGCCGCTCCATTTTTGATGGCGCCACGAAAAGCTGACGGTTGGTTGGCGCGCCCTGAGGGTCGCAGGGAGGCAGCCCCATTCTTCGCAGACTTCAAATCCGCATGTCCGGTCCGTTTTTCGAGTGAGCATGTCTTCTCTCTGGAGCCCGTGCGCCCCCCCGCCCGGGCTGTTTTCCTTATGTTGGCAATCTGCGCCAGGACAACGTTGCCCAGACTCATTTCTGTGGCGCGATTATGGCTGCGTCTGCGGTGGGTCGCGGTGTCCGTCAAGGTTGCCCAGCGCCCCTGCCCTGGGCCCTGGGCCCCGTGCGCCGTCGGCGAATTGCCGCGGGCCCCGCCCGGTTCAACCTCTCAGGTTACGCTGACGACCCTCGGTTCCCTCTGAGCAATTCGCGCGCCGATCTGGGCCCGATCTTCGGTCAGCTGCGCCTGCTCGCGGATGCTATCGGGTTGGAGTTGCACTTCGATAAATGCACCGCTCTTGCCGCGGGCGCGTAAATCTGAAAACTGGACAAATGTTTCTTGGGAGCCAGGGCGGTGGTTCGGGTATCTGAGGGCGTCTGCGCGGGCCTCATGCCCTCGTCGTTACCTCTCCGACGCAGCGCGACATAGACCTGCATCTTGCCTGCAATATTCGCCTCGCACGTGCCGGCCTTGCCGCGCCGAGCGTTGCCTAGAATTGTCGGGTTGTCTCCGCGCTGAAGCAACGCGCTCCGAATCCATGGCCCCGCCCCGCGTCTGTTCCAACTTGGAAATAGAGCGCGGCAGGTCATTCATGTTGGTCTTCGGCGCAGTTTCAGTGGCAAGATGATGCGCGATCCTGGGGAAGCAGGCTGCCACGCGGACTGCATCTCGATTTGCCGCGTGGCACGAGCGTCAGCGCCTCGCGCGGCTCAGAGGTCCCAGGCCTCGCCTCGTCTCCATGTGGACTGACAGCAGATTCTAGATTCTAGACCCCCCCTGGAACTTATCCCTGTTTGGTTAATCCCGTGGGTGGTTTTGGGGGGTTTGCTCTTGTCCTGCGCGGGCGCGGCGTTGCGGTGTCTCGGCGGGAGGCGCCCCTGCCTCGCCGCGCAGGCCTGCCCTGGCGACCAAGCATCTGCGACGCAAGCCCAGCTCACCCGTGACCTGGGCGAGGCGGAGCAATCGGACGTGATGGTTGGAGAACTCCCCCGGACAAGTGTTGAAGTTGCTCCCCCTTCCCCTCCTGCAATTGGGCTTCCTTTTTCAGGATAGAAAGCGTGGAGTCTGTCGTGCGGCCGTGATATTTCTTCTTCGGGCGTAGCTCGAATTTGTTTCCCCCAGGGTTGATCTGACTGAACTGACTGAACTGATCTGAGCTGAAGTGACTGGTCGCACCCGTAACGCAGCCGTTTGATTATCGGCGGCTAATTCTCGGCGGCCGAGGGCGCAACTTCTGGCGCAACCAATAGGAGCCAGTTCTGTTTTCGGCGGCCGAGGGCGCAGCCGGTAGGAGGCCGTGGAGGAGGATAACGAGGAGGAGGCGGCGGCGGAAAAGGAGGACGACGGAGAGATGGAGGGGAGTGAAGAGGGGGCGAAGGAGGAGGAGGGGCGCAAGGAGAAACACGAGGAAGAGGACGCTGACGACGTGGAAGTGTGGCCCAGAGCGGCTGAACGCGACATTTCGTACGGTGTTACGCCCGATATGTTCTCGCCATTTGGCTGGTGGTGGGGCCCAGGTGGGGATTTGTTTCGTGATTAGTTGTTGCGGCCGTGAGGGCCCTTTGGTGTGGGGTGTGGACTTCGGTTCGATTTCATGAGCACCCTAAGTGTTGTTTTTTGTTGTCGAACGTGCACCTGCGACCAGTGTCGCTAGCAGCGTCATCCCTGTGCTGCTGGTCTCTTCTCGATGTGGGCCCGCCCCTTCTTTTTGTCCTCGCCCCCCCTTTTCCCCGCCCGCTGCTGCGTCGACGGTCAAGCGTGATGTTGCCCTCTGAGCGCTGGTCGATTGCTTCACTCGCACCCATTCAGTTACGGTTGTGGACTGTTCTTTCGGGCGCACCCGTTGAACGCATACTTGTTATGGCAGTTTGAGATTGCTGGTGCAGCGCCCTACCCCCCCGGTTCGTGTTGCCGCTCAACATGTCCGTAATCGTCTGAGTTCGTCGGCTCCTGTTCCCTGGCGTTTCGAGCTTGATTTTGGCTGAGGGGCCGTTCGAAATCTGGGCACAGTTGCCCCTGTTTTGCTTGTCCTCTCGCGCGCGAGGTCCTGACAAGTTCGAGCGTTCCGCCCTCCGTTTTTGTTGATTATGCGTTTGGGTTCGCCTTCTCTTGTCCTTCCCTGGTGCCCCCTGCAGCTTCTGCTGTCGTCATTGGTGTTGCTGCTGTGCGTTCCCTCCGGCGTGTCTCTCCTGTTGCTGCGTCGCCGTGCCTCTACGGTTGCTACTGGCGGCGGTTGGGTTGCCCCTTCGCCGTGGCTTCCTGCTCTTGGCCCCGATATGTTCGGGAGCGCGTCGGCTCGCATGGGCGCATCGGTTCGGATGCCCTGATCTCCGCGCCGACAGCCACGCATGCCTTTCCTGCATGCTCTCTGCTGCGGGCGGGCGCTTCTCTTCCCTCGGCCCGTGCCGCCCGCCTTCCGCTTCTGACAGGTACATCGGCGGGGTGTTGTTGCCGGCTTCCCCCTTGAGAGCGGTCGCCGAGCCTGTTCGGACTGCCGCAGGTGGAGCGCCGGCCCCATCGCTCATGTGTGTGCAGCCGTCGCTGCTCCCATGGTGCACAACTGATGCGACCAGGTTGTGGCTGCACGCGTCGGCTCGTACGCGTTTGTCTGCCCCCCGCCTGTGCGCGAGGCCCTGGCAGGTTCGAGCGTAACTCCGCCCGCGCTCGCCGCCGCCGCCGCCCTTCTAGTGGTTCCCCGTCTCTCTCTCGGGTGGCGAGCTCAGTGCATGGCCCGATCGCGCCTTCCTCCTCCCTGTTTTGCGTGATGTGCCTGCTGTGTTCTTGGCGCCCGTCATCTGGGACGGTCTGGCAGTAGTTGCGCCTGGTGTTTGAGTTGCTTGTCCCCAGCCGTTGTGTATCTTGGCCGCAGTTTGTATGATTTCGTCGGTTGCCACCCAGTTCATCGCCATCGGTCCGCTGGGAAAGACAACTATCACCATCAGCAACAGCATCTTAATTATCCGAATTTGCATCTTCATCACCAGATTTACAAATACCACCACCACCATCACAATCGTCTTCCTCCGAATCCTCATACCCGTTTCGACATCCCACGTTCGTTCAACACCGTACAACGCGCAGGTTTCACGTTGGAAAATACAAAGTAGACCCGTTTTG